GTTTGATTTCCTTTTCAGTGTCCTTCCTTTCAATGTTTCATGTTCCCACTGACAAAATTATGGATTGCGCCAAAGTGACTTGGGAACAATTTTGCTCAATTTAAAAACATTTCTTGATTCACTCAAGACATTGGGCTAGGTCAAATTATGCAATGATAGATAAGGACAATATAGGGAAAAGAAAGACTCTTGGCAGCAGGATAATCACCCTGCAAGACAAATGCTACAAGCATGAAGTATGAGCCAAGAATGGGAAACAATATCTCATCAGCCTTTCTTTCTGCATACAGTTTAACTGTTTTATTCTTTACTACTTTACATTGCACTAGCTAACACTAAAACTCTTCAGGCACTTTTCTGCTTCCTCACCTAGATACTTTGGATATTTTTATAAACTATTCTTACAAAATCAATTCTGTAGTTCTGAAAAGAGCTTAAGGCCAAGGTTAAACTCAAACATTCCACCGATTCTCCAGCCAAAATTTACAGTAACAAAAAATATTTATTAACACTTATCTCAGTGTTGACAATTCCCAATGCAAACAAATACAATATTATTACTATTCTTTATCTAAATCAATGGTGTCACAACAAAAGTAAAACAACCAAATCAACACACAAAATCGATCCCTATTCCAGGAATATGAAATTTTAAAGATTTATTTTTAAGGAAGCACATTAAAGCATAGTTTTGCAAGTAGATGCAGATTTCTCCTATTTCACATTTATCTGTACATGAATATCCTACCTATCCCAAGCCTTGCAAAATATGAAAATATTAGATAATTAGAGCCGCACCTTGAATAAATAATGTGACTTTTTGTATAAAAGGTTAATGAATCATAATTATAATAAGGTTCATGGAATTTGTTAAATTGTTATAAATGAAAGAAAGATTTGGCCTTGAATCAGTATGCTATTGAATCTTGGCTAGCAGTTTATTAGATAACAGTTTCATAAAGTCAGAAACAGTTCTGATTATTTGCATTTTCACAGCATCCAAACACTTTCTTCTTTTATTCACTCCCTTCCTTCTCTTTTCTCCCTATTCTTTTTCCTTTTCTTTAACCTAGTCTAACTTTTTCTACTCTCTTTTCCTATCAATCCATCTATAATCATTCGCTGAGTGTTCTCTAAAGTTTGCTTCCCCAGAGACCTACATACATTTTTCTTCGTTATGCAACTGGTTTGAAATGTTGAACTCATTTGCTCTTCCGTGAATGCTTTTCCAGTTTCTTAAGAAGTTTGTACTTTGCTCCTGCCTACTTTGCAGTATCATTTGAAATGAAACCTGCTTTGGAGATTGCTCAAACATGCCTTCCCAAGCAAGCAGTTGTCACCAATGATCTTCTGCTTACAGCAGAGCTACTCTGTCCACCAACCCAATTGTTTGGAGTATTCAGACCTGAGCTTGTTTCACTTACTATGGTCTTTCCCACATCTGTTTCTCAAGTAATTGAACAAAATGTACTACATACAACAAGATTCAAGAAGTGCACTATGTCCACCATGCCTCAAGTTAATATAGACATCCATATTGTTTTTGATGACTATTTCTCTTGAGATTGTCACTTTTTTCTTCGCTAGTTTCATTGCCTCCAAGTTGATAAAGGTACAACATTTTAAAGAAACTTAGCAAAGAGTCTAGGTGAACCTTGAACTTTATAGCACAGGGCTGTTTTCCAGTTATTTTTATACTCTATCCTTAAAATGGCTCATTTTGGAAAACAAATTCTCTGTCACTAGACCAAATCACACTTGACCACATCTCCTCAAATTCAATCACATTTAGGTAAGTTATGATTTTTGAGTGTGTGCATCACAGCACAGCAGTTTAAACTTGGAGTACATCTAATCTCATTATTTAACTTTTAACTGCCTCCCATGATCACTCCCCAACTGAATACATTAGTGCAGGTTTTCCCTGCACAACTCAAGGGGGTGTAGTTATCTGTACAACTGTAGCCTGCAGGCTGGTCATGAGGATGGTGGGAGGCAACCAAATGTCTAGGCAGATGGGGGTGGGTCCCCAGTGAAACTCCACCTCCAAGTCAGAGATAGTTTAAAGCTTGAAAGTTGAACTACAAGTTAAATTCTCAAACCAGGTTGAAAACTTGTCTTCCCATTTTTGCATGTTTTCCTCTGATGGATCCCCACCCTTCACTTATTTTACATATGTCTACCATTTACTGATTGGTTTTCTGTACCGTCTTGCTCACCTTTGAATGGTGTCTTTGCTTTAACCTTTTTTGCATACTCACAAACCATTCACCGTGCACTCCCCATTCTGAGTCCATAAGAGGCTGTGTACCCAGCCTCACAAGGGAACTTTTCTACCTTCAGGCAGGGGAACCACCCACCACTTTCCCTCTTTGCTGAAATCTTTCCTTTTGCTTAATAAATTCTACTCCACTCACTCTCTGGTGTCTGCGCACCTGATTTTTCTTGGTTGTGAGACAAGAGCTCAGACCTAGCTGAGATAAGGAGCAGAAAGACTGCAACAGTCACCTCCAGTGAAGCCCTTTCCTTCATGATTTTCCCAACTTACCTCTCCAGCATCACCTTCTGCTATCTGTCCCCTTCCTACACAATAAATTTGTACCATTTTTAACTATTTTTTTCTAAACTTGACACAGTCTGTGATTTTGCAGACGTGACTGGTACTGTGTGGAATATTGCTATCATCTTATCTGCCACTCTCACCCAATCTTTAAGTTTCAGTCACCTGCTGTGTATAAAATTTCCCTATAGAGATTAAGAGTTTACCTCTCCTCTCTGATCATCTTATGTCTGTATCAAACTTGCAGTTTGTCTCAGAGTTTGTCTTTCTTCCATCTGGTCCTGAAGGTTGTTTGGAAATGAGTTGTGTTGTGTTCGCCTTTGACCCACAATATTTGTCATGGGTTAGACATGAAGGAATTCTAAAAGAGCTAATATGGCAAATTAAAAAATCAGGCTCCCTTGGTTCTATGTTAGCCCTAGCTTTTGCCACTTACATGCTGTGTTACATTAGAAAGATTATGTATCCTCTCTGTACTACACATTATTTAATAGCAAAATGGAATTTGAAGCAATATCTACTTCATGGTGCAATTGTACCTTGTAAAGAAGTTAGTAGTACATGTAACATGATCACAATGATGGTAAATAAAGAGCACTTTTGAAATGTTAGCTACCAGTGCTAATACTGTTATCATTATTATAGTTATTGAATTATTTCCTCTTTCACAATATTGCCAAAGAATAGTTACCAAAATCTGGAGGACGTAAGAATGATTAGAGAACCCTTTTTTTTTGAGACAGAGTCTTGCTCTGTTGCTCAGGATGGAGTATAATGGTGTGAGGCTCACTGCAACCTCCGCCTCTCAGGTTCAAGTGATTCTCCTGCCTCAGCCTCCTAAGTAGCTGGGATTACAGGTGCACACCACCACACCCAGCTAATTTTTGTATTTTTAGTAGAGATGAGGTTTCACCATGTTGGCCAGGCTGGTCTCAAACTCCTGACCTCAGGTGATCTACCCTCCTTGGCTTCCCAAAGTGTTGGGATTACAGGCATGAGCCCCCACGCCTGGCTGAGAAATGCTTTTAATACCCAGAATTCTAGGCTCTGAGGTTCTGGAAGCTGCATTCTTTTTTTGTTTATATATTTTTTATTTTTTGGCATCCCTGGGTGGGCATGAAGGAACCTGCATTCTTATGAATAATTCCAAATTTTTAGACACATTTCAACACTGTGAGGATGTGGGGGGTCCCAGAATGCCTTGAGTGATTCTGAGATTCTAAGTCATCATGTAATGATTATACTATATTCCCTATGGTTATTAATACACATCCATACACACCCACACTCACACATATACACTCCATCAGATTAGAAACATTTTTATCTATTCAAAGTAATACAACTTTATAATATTCAGTATTCAAAGATTAATATTTACCTGTGCATTCATTCTCTTTCTTTACTACAGTTATATTTTAATCTACTTTTGGTATTGCATATTTATAATAATAATACTGCTGTCTCATATGCTTATTTGAAGTATTTTATAATTTAGATTCACTATTTCATTTGCTACTTCTTAAAATCATGTTATATGACTTTTACACATAAATCCTTTTTAAAACCATGTTTTATGACTTTTATATATAAATCCAATCTCTCAATTAACCAACAACAAAGCCAGATTAATTATGGGGCGGGTTGATGAGAAAACCTATAAAGAAAACCAATAAAGCACCAGTATCTCATGGGTTTTCTTGTATTATGGGTATTATGGGTATAATAATAAATTATCCTCCCCAATATTTGCATTTTAATTGTAGTTGTGACAAATTCTATTTTCACCCTTTATTGTATTCAAAACAAGTGTTTTTTGACTTAAAAGCTGGCACATGTAATACCACCAGGTATAATGAAGAGAAAATTTGCAATGTGGACAATTTTGAACAATTATGAACAGAATTTCATATTGATTTTGATTTGGTATATAAAATCAAATACAAAACTCAAGATTTTCCCCCATATGACATAAACACTGTAACTATTGCTTTTTTGAAAGTATATTTTCCACACATTTAAGTATGTTTGCTCTTGTTTGCTTAAAGGGATGCCCAGTAAATCATTAAGGAGAAAATATGGGAACATGGAAAATAAAAGTTCAACATTGTGAATGAAGAGGTATTTCTACATAGGCTGCTTTTGAGCTTTTACAGTATTTTCAGGTCATTTTTGTTCCTTCACAGATTCTTTTAGAAGCCTTATGTTGAAATGATGATAAATTAGAGACCACCATACAAGTCAAGAGATGCCTTTCCACGAAGAGATAGTTCAGACTTTATATTAAGCCACAATTCTGCCATACCAATTTCCAATTTAAAATTCTTCATTAACTATCTAGAGATACTACAAATCTCACTGAGATATAAAATGCAAGATACAATGTAAAGATCCTTTTAAGTGGATTAGTTAAAATGAACTTTTTTTTTTTTTGATACAGGGTCTCACTCTGTCATCCAGGTTGGAGTGCAGTGGCATCATCAAAGCTCCCTGCAGCCTCAACCTCCTGAGCTCAAGCAATTCTCTTTCCTCAGCCTCCCAGGTAACTGGGACTACAAGCTTATGCCACCACATCTGACTAATTTTTGTATTTTTTCTAGAGAGGCGGTTTTGCTGTGTTGCCCAGGTTGGTCTCAAATCCCTGAGCTCAAGTCATCCACCTGCCTTGGCTTCCCAAAGTGCTGGGATTATAGGTGTGAGCCACTTGGCCTGGCCATAGTTAACTTTTAAAAGTTGTTCTTATTGTAGTTTGGCCATCTACATTAGACTCCTTCTTATTTGGTTGTTGCTCCTAACAGCATGTTTAAGGCATCATCAGTAAAATTCCTTCTCTTATTTAATATGTATCTTTTAAGTACTACTCTGTACCCAGCACTGTTGTAGGTGCTAGAAAAGATAGAGAAAAAGCCAAACCCCTTGTTCTCGCAGAGTGTCCATTCTAATGTTGGAGACATGTAATTAACTAATACATAAACCGGTGTCAGATTCTGATAAGTGCTATGAAGGAAACTAATTCAGGTTAAGAAGTAACGGAGTGAGGGGAAGGTGGCAGGCAACGTTTTAGAAAATGGAGTAAGATTGTCAATCAGGTGACATTTTATGGGGACAAAAATGAAGTGAAGCAAATTCGTTCTGTAAATATCTGTGGAGAGAGCTTTAAGCCATGTGACTATGTGGAAAAAAGCAAATGAAAAAAAAAAATGCAAAGGCCATGAAGGAGACTTGCTTGTGAAGTTCAAAGCTTTGGCTCTTCTATTTGTTGCTTCTGCTCACCCTACCTGCTTTGAAGCTTGAAAATACTAATCTCTTTTTGGCTTTGCATTTTCCATGTCAAAGACCTTAATTTTTTTCCCTTTTGTCTTTTTAAACTTTGCTAAAAATGGTTAAAATATCAGTACATGATTGCTGGTAAAAGCTAAAATTATGTAAGAGAAGTTCTCTCCAGCTCTGGCCTACCTCATATCAGCTAAATAAACACTTAATTTTTTTATATGCTTTATTATTTTCCTTTGTTTTTTTGCTTTTATATACATACCTGTGCATACAGCAATGTATCTGGGTGTTTCTGTGTGTGTTTTGACTTTTTTTTCTTTTACTTTTCCACTTCATTTTTTAAATCTAAGACTGTATAGATATCGTATTCTTAAAACTATGAATATTCTAGAATTAGCGGTTATTTCTGTTCATAATGAAATATGACAAATAAGTTCCACTTCCTGACCCGTATTATTTCTATCTTCTTAGTTTAAACACTAAATTCAAGTTCAAATAGACACTAATCTGAATTCTTTACTGATATCCAGTAACAAAGAAAATTTATTCTAGGCATTTCACATTTTAATTCGCCTTGTTTCAGTTTTGCATTTAGACTCTAGTTACTAACATCAATTAAAATATTTCCTTTCAGAAAATACGTTCATTTTCATGAGCATGACTCTGTGACTTCACTTCCCATGACTTTCTCTGTCTTTTCTAATGACTGGTAAATTCTGCCTTGTATTGGCATCTTTTCCACATCTCTACAACCCACTTAAAGCAGCCTGTTTCATTTTATTCTGATGCTTATAAGCTTGAGAACAACTAAAGTAATTTTACATCATTTGTTTGTTTGGTTCTTTGAACTGCCCAGGGCTTTGCAAAACAATTTTAAAATAGAGTTATGGTGGTTTGCCCAAAGTACATTTTAAAGTTTCTCATAAACAGCTTTTCAGATTGTTTTGCCTGACAAAGATGGAGAAGCAACAATAAAGAGATCAGTTTTTAACTTCCATGACATAAAAGTTTTAGATTTTTGTAGGCTGAAAGGTTCTAAAAAGTTATTTGAGCTTTTTTTCCTAAGTTTCATGAGCAACTGGCAAATAGCTCCTACAGTATTCACAAGTACACTTACAATTTTCTTGCCACAACTGATTGAAGATACAAAGCTTACACCCACAAGCAACCACAATGACCACAGAATGATGATGAAGTGGTCTATGGTCGGCAGTGATTCATTATGTCTGAAATGTTTGCAGTTAAACTTAATGGAGGGGAAATAGGTCTCTCTTTGCAAGTGGTCACTTCCTTTCTTCCATTGATTTAACCACATTATTAAACACAAATAAGAATATATTTTCCCTAAAATTCACAATTTAATTCAAGTGTCTGTTAACACAAATTAACTCTACTATCTGGTGTCAGCAGTATTCTAAGAAACAAAAGATACTTGTTGATTTCAGTTTCTGAAGCCAAAACAATGTTAATTTGGAATAGGGTGGAGAAAGTCAGAATAATGGTACAGCTCAGTAGAAAGAAAGCTAAAATTACAACTACTACAAAAATTAAAAATAAAAAAAGTTACACAGAAATTTAAAATCAAAAAATTAGAATGCTATAATTATCAAAACACACTGACAAAATTAATTTTATCAAGCATTATCGTAGATACCTTAGAATATAATTTTCTAGCATCTGAATTCAACTGCTGTGGTCAGATAGTCCTCCCTTCTGTGCATACATTAAAGAATAGAAGATAAAAAGAAAAACAAAGCCAATAGAATAGAATATCAGTAAGTATCAAAAAAATATCAGTTAAGTGGATCCACCCCTGTAAATTGCTTTTGAAGATTTTAGGCTAATGAAGATCCACTTAAACCAGAAAATAAATGTAAACCACACCATGGTTTGTAAACCACACCATGACTGCCTGTGTCTCCTTTTGCCTCACTTCTCTTTGGGTCACACCTGATGGTAAAGCACCATATATTATACTGAAAGACCATGGCGAAAGTGTCACTCTTTTCTAGCCCATTGTTGGGTTCTCATGTTTGCCAATTCTTCTAATGTTATTATAATAAAAATCTGTTTTCATTTTTCATATTAGAATTAACAGCATTCTGAAAGGATAGAATAATATCTAATTATACAATTATTGAGTTCTCTGAAGGAAAAAAAGTCATAGTTTGAAAGCTTTTCCGTTCATCTTATTAAGATACAAAAGTAATTTTCCACAGTGGAAATCAGTTAAGGATTTTAATCATTTATTAAGTGCCTCATAAGTTATATAAAATATTTTGCTTAAACAATTTTAGATTTTTAAAAGTTTTAAATTATATCATTATGATATAAACATCTTAAAATGATTTCAGACATGATAGTTTATAAAGTCAAGCTTTCATATAAAACAATATAAGATTCCAGTAGGAAGACTCAGAGTGGATTCTTAGATCTTCTTAGATTATATTCTTTGTCTCCCACTTCTTATTTTTCTGTACCAAATTTTGTTATTCTACTCTAACTTGTTTGGTTTTAATTATTTACTTGTTCAATAATTATTTACCCAACACCGATATTTTGTGTTAGGCATTGCTGTAGGCACCTCGAATTCTGAAAGGAACTTAGACAAAAGTTGTTGCTACCATATTTGAATTTAAACAAAGGAAATTTGTACCAGAATATATCAGAAGGTGATAAATGGCAAGAGGAAAACTAAGGAAGGGATTGAGCAGAGAGTGCAGCAAAGGGAGTGTTGGTTTTAATTATAATTTTGGTCATTTAAAGATATTCTTTGCCCCATGGGACCAGAGGATTAGTTAGCTGAACTAAGAAAAACTGAACATTTTTCTGTGATCAGAGGCCCACTCTTGAACAGATCCATTTCACCTTTACAAGTACACAGACATGGATATTTATCCCGCCCAGCTGTTAATTACATGTGGCTTTCCCATAATTAATTAAATGTGGCCTTGACCCTTCACCTTTACTTTGCTTCATGTTACAAACTTTGCATGAAGCCAGATCATTTTTTTTTTAAAGCAGATTCTTATTTTCCTTTTGGTACTTTTGGTAGTATTCAATTACATTTTTCAATTTTCTTGTTTTTCTACTTTCAGTGAAAGATACTTAGCACTCACATAAATTCACTATCTGAAAAATTATTTGTTTTCTTATCAATCTCCTTTAGATGACAGGTTGTCACATTTTGCAGTTGAACACATGATTTTACAAAATATGTCTTGTCTAGGAAGGTCACCGTAGAGCTCGAACAGAAATCAATTATTATCTGGTACAGTTGTTTTCAGTCCTAGCTTCAGACTTTTAAAATGTGGTGTCTGGACCATACATCAAGAGCTTCATTCAACTGTTTTGAGTAGGACTGAGGTTTTGGTATTTTAAAAAATCTCACCATGTGCTCCTATGGTGTAGCTAGGGAATATGAAAAGAAGATGAGCCTTTCTGCTCAATGTGGGCCAACAACACTATCTTAACCAGAAAGCTTTTTAGGAATGCAGAATCCCAGAACTACTGAGTCAGAATCTACATTATCAACACAGTCCCAGGTGATTTATGTGCGTGTTAAAGTTTCAGACGCACTACTCTAGACATACATTTTCATTTTGTAGATATTAATAGCTAATAAAGAGTTAAAAAGTTTAATCATTTCCCCCAAAGTGAGTGCCACTAGCTAGGAGAGAATGAAGTTGAAAAGCCAGTGGTTAGCTTTCTGGATCTTTAGTTGTTGCCCTTTGCTACATATGCACAAAAGATCGTCAGTTTTGTAAGGGACTGGAATCTTGATGCAAATTGAAAAAAAAAATCTGAATAGATTAATTTTAAAAAGGTGCATTAATGTTAAAATATAACACACATTGAAATATTATTTAATATAGCAAAATACAGAATAATGAATACTGATAACAATCCTATTATAAGCAAAAATAAAAATTTGTTTATCATAAAGATCTTATACAAACTTCAGAAATACTTATGCCAACTAAGTAGCACATCTTCTCAAGTAGATGACTATATCATATTTTATTTACTTAGTTTTACTTGGTTAATCCTTTTATCAGAAACTGAGCAAAAGTAAACTTTTCTTATATATTATCATAAATTCCAAGTGGAGTAGATTTCGTTTTAATGTTGTCTCATTCTCTAAGGAAGCTATTTGCTTAATGTTAAACATTTGTTAGGACACATACTAGAGTGTAATGGCCCTTCTCACAAAAAAAAAAAAGAAAAGTCTGGGAGAATTTTTAGCCTAATCTGCTCTTACCTAACTTT